CCCCCCCCCTTAACGCCTTAAATACCATAGTATTGCATCTATGGACTGGAGCATCTACGATGTATGTAGGACATGGTTAAACTATCTCACCGAACATTCTTCCATTTTATCTTCCATATAAGCTGTTTCCATCCTCTGGTTGATGTGATCATGTCTAACTTTGTCTAATTTTGTATGATCGTACATTCATCACATCTCAGTATTAGGATACTCACTTGTGAACTCCAGAATCGAATAACACGTGTAGGCGGGGGTTAGAGATATAAACATTAGGTATACAAGATTATTCAGAGGGTTTATTAAAAATCTTGAACTACTCAACTCATTGCCGTGGGTGTTTAAATTAGTTTTCTATTTGATATACAGTTGCTCCATCATTTCATAAAGGTATTAGTTATCCCATCCTACCTTATTCTATGCGGTATTGTTGTACTGGGCTTAAAAAAGTGAAGATGTTAAATGACTCAATAGAATTTAATTCCTAATCAGAAGAATATGCACTTACCCATGCTGAAGTAATTCCAGAAACCTCCACGGAATGTATGGAAACCTTCCTGTATTATTAGGTTAAAAAGAGAAAGCAGTTATCCTCTTCATCCGACAGGGTAACACTTTGAAACAGACCAAGCTAAGAAATTTGTGATTTGCCCAAGCCAGACATTACGCATTCATGTTGATAGAGATGTATGCGTGCATACTGATTACATATACACATGTTCACTTTTTGTTCTTAATCAATGTGAATGCACTTGAAAACGGAAAACGCCAAAACAGAAATCTTATCAGAACATGCCCCACCCTGGACTTCATTTTATCCAACTACAAGAAAACACACAAGGAAACTCCATGGTAAAGTAATAAATTTAATGAATGCAGAGATGATACATGTAAAAGATACTGATTCTTTTACATATGTTTAGTCTTTTAAATAGCATTCAGATCAGCATGGTAAATTCTCAAATTCTCTTCTCTAGGAAGATTATGCTTGAAAAACTAAATGCAATGAATAATGTCCAAAAAATGTCAGAGAATATGTACTCCACAATGATGATATCTCTATTCAACCATATCAGTTTTTCCAATTTGAAGACTCATACCTTTATATATGTGTAAAGTGATCAAAAATGATTGTTTCACTATTTCTGCGACACTATCCTAACAACTTTTTACAGTTATGGTGATTTTTTAGTAATTTCTTTTTGTTCCAAAGCAAGTAAACTCATGCTGTAGAATATTCTTTAAAATCATGTTATTGTTGAAAGTCGAGAGTATCATAAACATAATGAATAAATTATTTGAAATTATTACGTTTTACTTATTTAGAATCCTTTTCATGTTACTTAACTCCTATATAAGATGTAATGACCAATTTCAATCAACAAAACACTTAAAAATGACACCTAAAGCTATCATGGAGCAGGACTTTACACAAGCAGAACCAGGTTTAATATACTATCAGCAAAGAATATAGCACAAAAAAAAAAAAAAAAAAGAACACAAGTGGCGAGGAACTTACGCAGATATAAGAGATGGAGCTAGTCTAAATGAAAGTGTGTGTTCATCTTAGAGAAGACAAATTTCTTTTAATAGATAAGGATGTCTTACCACATTCAGTTCATCAGATGGAGAAACCCGGTGAAATGCATGCAAAGAATGAGGCAATTCAAGCGGTGCAATAGGATCACAAGAACCACCTTTTGGTGCTCTCATCCTCATAAGAATGTGCCAACTGCATAAAGCAATTTTCTTAACACCAGTTGGTTGAGAATAAGCAGTCATGATGCACCAATTATACTATTAAGTTACATTATAATAGTAGAAGTCTGTGCAATCGGAATACGTATACCATAATAAGAGGATCGGATAGAACCATAATAGAAGTTTCCAAAAGCTAGAACTTCCTATAGTTTTGGAAGAGGTTATTATGGTTGTGTACAATAAACAAGAAGTCCTTGTACTAATTTACACAAAAAATTTATGTTCATGTTAAAGTAAGTAGGTCAATTATCACAAGAAACAGTATTTGTGAAAATGTGTTCCCTTTACCAATATTGGATGCTAAGCAAAAAAAATTAAATGTATTTGCACGCTTTGGAACTCTTTTCTTCACTCCAATAAAAAATGGAAGCTTGAACTTAGAGCTTTCACAACTTCACCAACCAAACTATTATATTCCTTGACTTAGCTAGAGACCTGAATTTCTTTTCCAATTTCCTTGAAATGAAAGATCTTTAAGGAAGACCCACATGCTATTACAAAAAATGATTAGGTTAATCCGGCCCACTTTCGCATTTGTTGACATTTTTCTTTACTTTTGATTCAAGAAAAAGATAACAACATATAGTGACACTAATGTCTGCATTTGAATTATCTATACATTACAAGCTCCCATTGTCTATATTGTGAAAAACGAAGATATACACTTTAAGAGAGACGATACATTCAGCTTGTGACACTGCCAAGAAGTTTGAACAAAGAAATAATACTTGATCATCAAGGGATCAACATTCAATTGAGAATATCACAGACAGGCCACAATATCGCATATGAACACTAACAATATTACCTGTCCATCTTCATTTCTTTTGCATTCATTACTTGCTTCAAAAATGAGATGACGGAGTTAAGGTCGGTTCCTGGATTCTTCTTTCCCTGTCAATCACCAAAACTGCACATCACATAAAGTATCTTTCTCAACACTAAAGGCACACTAATGTATCTCATAGAAGATAAAAGACTTTTGCTATAGCTACTAAATGAACATGTTTGTGAGCAAATCTTTTTTATGCAAGGATTTCAGGTTGTTTATAGATAATCAAAACATAGTATAAGCAATACTAGGAAACAAATTGCATAGTGAGACACCAGGCAAGCAAATTGAGAGCTTTTGCGCCACTATATTGACTGCTACAATTTACAGGAAAATATATCCATCAAATATCTAGTGAGTCAACAGTTTCCGCCACAGATCCATACCCAGCCAAAAGCAAATGGAAGGTTATTTCCAGTTCCCAAAGGCACTGTAGCAATTGGTGGAGGCTGAGATAGTTTGAGATCAGATACAACTCCGAGAAGCCAGCCAGCTGTGCCATCTCCACCTGCAACCTAAATATAAAATCCAATGTCAGTACTTTGTGCTGGAAAATAATCATCTGGCCGTTTGGTGAAGTTACGAGAAAAACCTGTTGAATCATGAACCAACTGAAAGAATTCAACTCACAATTATTCTCATTCTCTCTTCAGTTTTGGCAGCAAATTGATCACCACCACTCTTCAGCTTTTCTATATTCAAGTACACACTACGTAAAACACTATCAGGAGCTTCTTCTCCCAAATCAAAAACCTGAAATGTAAACAAAGATGTCCGGACTTCAATCAAGTAATAAATCAACTAAACCTCAGTTCCAAACACGTCTATCTGATATAAAACATAAATTGACAAACTAAAAATATTTTGCAGTTATTTCTTTTGCATATGCGAATCAAAGGAAAGAGCTTAAGTACCTGATACTTGTTAAGAAGATGGCGAAATGTACGAAGAAGTTCTCCTCCAAGTTGACCTCCGCTTTTAGAATTAATAAACACTAGCACAGGGCATGTAGGTACATTATCAGGTAAAGCTATATGCCTACTCTTATTCGGAGCATCCGGTGCAAGTATGTAGGTAGGAATATAGAAGTCTCTATGTATGTTGTCATTGAGCTCGGACTCAGAATTAGCCATTAACTCTACCTGCAGCGGCATTATTAACAAATAAAATACTCAAAAAATAAGCAAAATACAAAAAAATAAAAAAAATAAATAAATAACAATCAGACAAACACATGTATGATGAAAATTACTTTGTTCAAAGGCCGTAAGAGGATTTTCGACAAATATGTATCGTGCAGAAAACACTGGTGAATCCTCATATCGATTAGTCAAATTTGTTCATACATTTACAATTCAAAAAATAACCAGTCGTCGACGTTGACATTCAGTTTGACAGGTATAAAGCGAAATTCGTACATTTCTACACATAATTCAGTTAGGAAACGACGATCAACAAGGCAAAGAGCTTGACCTCGTTCAATTCGATTAAATTAAACTATACAAGAAGAAGGCGAAGCAATGGAATTCGAATGAGAATACACAGAAAAAAGAAAAAGAAGATTTACCAGTGAAAGAAAAGTATTTGGATTGTCCTGCGTATGCAAATATTCGGCAGAATCAGAAACAAACTTACGTCAACAGTAAAGGATTTTTCGAAATTCGGATCTATAGAGGTGTATTTATAAAGTAGAGGAAGGGGGAGAGCGAAAACGCGTGATGGCGCCGTGTGCGAGTGAATTAATTAACGAATTCGTTGAACTTTCTACGGTCACATGGACAGAAATATACTGATAATCAGCAGCCCTAGTGGAGGAAGTTAAGGAATGAATTTGATTAATAATTGACTTTAAAGAGTCTACATGCCGTTCTGTAGGGTGAGGAAATTGGAAGGCCGCTTTTCTTTTTTTTGCAGGTTGGTTGGTTAGTTGGCTGCATTTTGTTATTTTCTACTGCCCTGTTTGTTCCTGATAATAGCTATTGTTCACTTTTTGCTCTGTTTAAGGTTTTTCTTGTTTGGAAGGCGCCAAGCCAATTGCGACTTTGTGACTAATGAGAATCTTAAAGGGTTTTTGAGACTCAACTCGGAAATCCGCTATCCACGTTATCTCGCACCTAATAATGCTTTTACCTACTCTTTTGTTTCTTCTAACGATTGTGATATTTAAAATAAATTACTAGCGTCTATTCACTATTGGATACAAAAATACTTTAGAGGGTGTTTGGCCAAGTTTATAAGCTGGTCAAATTGGCTTATAAGCATTTTTTAGGTAATCTGCGCGTTTGGTAAAATTAAAAGTGCTTATAAGTTAAGTACTTATAAGCCAAAAATAAGCCAAAAGTCATAAGTTGGTCTCTCCCAACTTATCAAACTTCAGCTTATAAGCACTTTAAGTTTGACCAAAATATTTACTATTCTATCCCTAAAATACTTCTTTTTAAAACAAAACTCTTCGTATACCCGGTTCTTTAGCTGCATATTATTAATTTCAGCACTTTTATCCAAACACGTAACTGCTTATTTTTTAAATCAACTTCAGCACTTAAAAGTGCTTTTCAGCACCTAATATTTATCAGGTACTCTAAAATCAGCTAAGCCAAACAAGCTCTTATTCGTACTCAGTAGTTCACCTAATCAAGCAATTTAATATTAGCGGGTGAAGTTAAAGTGAAAATATATTGTTAATTAATCATGATTCAATTGTTAAGTGTGTCTATAATAAACACGTGGTACATTCATGACTTAATATGAACACGAGATGCATATAAAATTTTACCCTATTTGATAGCTATATCCTCCATTAGAAAATGTTCTACATCTCAATGCCACTTCTGATTAATACTATGTGCAAAGACTAGGAGTCTAGGATCCATCTTCAATTTTGTCTATAGGAATGGTAAAAAGGGTAATTATTCACTTGGTGATTAATAAAAATATTTAGTTACCAAAAAATAGAATGGTAAAAAGGGTATTAAAAATAAGAGAACCTTTTAAAAAAATAAAAATAAAAAATTCTCTAGTACCTTTGTTTGCCGAAATCTTGAAAGGTTTTCTCTATTTCAAGAAATACTGTAACAATTTTTATTTCCTAAGACACATTTGAAATCTCTTTAAGAATCGCATTTTTGCCGGTCAAGTGTCAACATCTAAAAGCCTACAAAGACTCTGAAATAGATCAATTTATTTGTTTTAATATTTGTGATCATCATGTGAATAAACTTATTTATTTATTTTGTTTACCCTAAAATCGGATAGCAATAAAATGTGTACGTGGTTTTAAGGATATGTGGATTGATTCAGCACAAATAATCAAGAATATTGGGTATACGAGTTAAAGATAAAATGAAATGCTCAAATCAATAGTGATATTACGGCCTAGCTCGAGTCTAGATTGAACAGTAGTTTTGCCCTCGATCGGACCCTTAGTTCGAACCCAAATCGGAGGAAGAACAAACAGTTAAGTAAGAGCTTCTGCAATTGCTAGAAAGCAGAGAAATAAATTTGTATTGCCTTGATTTTCGTGTTACAATGTGTTTGTCAAAAGAAAGAACCTCCCCTTTATATAGTAGGGGAGTTTTATCCCTAGTACAAATCTAAAAAAGGTAAAAATCTTCCTTTCCCGTTAGTTACTGATCCATAACCAACATCGAGCAAGATCCGTGCCATGATATCCAGTCGAGTACGAATATCACGGCCTTTTATCCGTCGTGTGTAACTATTTACCGTGTTTCCCGAGGTTTTAGAACTCGTTCTGGGTCCGGGGAGCGTTGCTTTATCATGCCCGGTGATGAACACAACGTTCTTCTTTCATGGGTCTCGATACGAAAGATTCACGACCTCGATTTCAGTCTCATGCGTCCGTGCCCTTCTTCCATTTTCTTCACCGAGAAATTGGGGTATGTCTATTTCCGATTTTACCGTTACACAAATAGTCCCCTCATTTTCTGGAGAGTAGGTTTGCCGGAACGATAGGAAACGATAAATGAACCTCGATTTCTCCTCGTAAGTTATAACTGAGATGACGGGTACATTGAAACGACCCATCACTCGCGTTGCTCTGACTTTGAACACGTGTCAGTTATTGGCTGGCTATCTTCGAATGCGAAGCGTTGCCTATTGATTGCCTTTTCCCCTATAAAAGCTTCAACACTCTTCACTTCTTCCACTTTCCAATTCTAGACTTTACCTTCGAACATTCTAACGGCTTTTAAATTCTCCAGATCTTCATATATTACTCATTGAGCCTTCATATCTTCATCTTCATACTTCTTCTTTGAACCTTCAACCCAGACCTTCAAACCATCTTCAAATCTTCATATTTTTCTTCAGACCTATTCTCTAGTACCTTTGTTTGCCGAAATCTCGAAAGGTTTTCTCTATTTTAAGAAATAACATTTTTTATTTTCTGAGACACATTTGAAATCCCTTTAAGAATCGCATTTTTGCCAGTCAAGTATCAACTTCTAAAAGCCTACAAAGACTCTGAAATAGATCAACTTATTTGTTTTAATATTTGTGATCATCATGTGAATAAACTTATTTATTTATTTTGTTTACACTAAAATCGGATAACAATTGAATTTGTATGCGATTTTAAGGATATGTGGATTGATTCAACACAAATAATCAAGAATACTGAGTATACGAGTTAAAGATAAAATGAATGCTCAAATCAATAGTGATATTACGGCCTAGATTGAGTCTAGATTGAACAGTAGTTTTGCCCTCGATCGGACCCTTGGTTCGAACCCAAATCGGAGGAAGAACAAACAGTTAAGTAAGAGCTTCTGCAATCGCTAGAAAGCAGAGAAATAAATTTGTATTGCCTTGATTTTCGCGTTACAATGTGTTTCTCAAAAGAAAGAACCTCCCCTTTATATAGTAGGGGAGTTTTATCCCTAGTACAAGTCTAAAAAAGGTAAAAAATCTTCCTTTCCCGTTAGTTACTGATCCATAACCAACATCGAGCAAGATCCGTGCCATGATATCCAGTCGAGTACGAATATCACAGCCTTTTATCCGTCGTATGTAACTATTTACCGTGTTTCTCGAGGTTTTAGAACTCGTTCTGGGTCCGGGGAGCGTTGCTTTATCATGCCCGGTGATGAACACAACGTTCTTCTTTCATGGGACTCGATACGAAAGATTCACGGCCTCAATTTCAGTCTCATGCGTCCGTGCCCTTCTTCCATTTTCTTCACCGAGAAATCGGGGTATGTCTATTTTTAATTTTACCCGTATGCAGATAGTCCCCTGATTTTCTGGAGAGTAGGTTTTCCGGAACGATAGGAAACGATAAATGAACCTCGGTTTCTTTCCTCATACGTTATAACTGAAATAACGGGTAAATCGATACGACCCATCAGTAGTGTTGCTCTGACTTCGAACACGTGTCAGCTATTGGCTGGTTATCTTCGAATGCGAAGCGTCGCGTATTTATTGCCTTTTCCCCTATAAAAGCTTCAACACTCTTCACTTCTTCCACTTTCCGATTCTAGACTCTACCTTCGAACATTCTAACGGCTTTTAAATTCTCCAGATCGTCATATATTACTCATTGAGCCTTCATATCTTCATCTTCATACTTCTTCTTTGAACCTTAATCCCAGACCTTCAAACCATCATCAAAACTTCATTTTTTTCTTCAGACCTATATTTTTCAGATTATAATGGCTAAAACTTCCAAGTCAGTGTCTCAGCAGGCTGCTCTTTCATCTTCCACCCGGCCACAGATGCCGAGGTGGCCGTTCCCGAGGTAGCTCAGGAGCTCCCCCATGAAGAGCTTCATACCCGGGGGCTTCTCTATCGGGGATGACTTCAAGGTCGAGAAGGCCTCTAGTCAGCTAGACGGAGGTGGGGGAGCATAGAGATACACATGCTCCATCACTGAAGAAACATTACCCATAGTCCAAGCGGACTGTAAATGGGAGGGTAAGGACGTGGTCGTTCATAAGTGGGGATTTTAACCTATTATTTGCTCTCTTTTACTTGCGCTTTGGGCCTAAAATGCGTGAAGGTATTCTCGGAAACTAATGTAATATATTTGCTTGTAGGAACTGATCGAAATGAGCCAAATGAGGTATAATAAACTCACAAAGGAGTCAAAACTGGAACAAAAACCAAGACTGGGCCAGGAGACCTGAAACGCGGACCGCACAAATATTTTACGGCCGCGGAAGCCACAACGCTACCGTGATCACAAATACGCGGTCTGCGAAAGGGAGATTCAGAGAGTGCATTTTCAGGCCAAATGTTAAGCAAGGTCCGCGTCAGAAATGTGCGACCGCGAAAGTGTCATCGCGGTAGCGATTGGTTTATGCGAACCGCGGTTGCTGAGGTTCAGAGAGTTCACATTACATTACAAGCAAAAATAAGGAGTGCGGTCCGCGGTAGAATTACGCGGCCGCGATGGAAATTATGCGGCCCGTGAAACAAACCTCAACCCAGATCCAGAAGTTAAAAACACGGACCGCGGCCACTATTACGCGGCCGCAAAAAGAAGAGTGCGGCCGCGGTAAGAATTACGCTGCCGCGAAACTTCCGCAGGGGCATTTTTGTCTGAAAATTTTAGCTTAGTATAAATAGATCTTTTTGACATTTTTAGGTTAAGTTATGTTTTTGCTGAGCACGTGAGACGGCTGGAAATTCCATTTTGAGCAATTTTGTACTAGAATTATCTCTAAACATTAGATTTTCATCTTTTAATATAGTATTATGAATTTTATCTTTGTTTCATCTTTGATTTCTGTTATTTCCATGAGCAGCTAAACCCATAGCTAGGGTTGTGACCCAATCCTAGTGTGGGTATTTGATGATTCTTTAATTTTAAGGCTTGAATGTGTATGTGTTAGTAGTATTTAGCCTAGTTCTTGCTAGAACTATGGAATTAGTGGTTGCAAACACTGATTCATGCCTTTATGACTTAGCCTCTACTTGAGAAAGAGGGACTAAGTCTAGGAAAACTAGGCTAACAAGGAAATGGGGTGAACTTAAAAAATTGATAGCCCCAATTAAAGGGTTAAACCTA